AAAGAGGTGGACAAAAATCTCTATGGAATCCCTAGGAGATTTCGTCCAAGGCCCCTTAGACAAGGGGTTATGGGCTGTTTGGTCACCAAACAAAGGATCTAGGAGATTTCCCTTTAACCCTAGTTTTGACACCAAGTTTCTTCAACTATATAAAGAGTCCTCTAGCCTTATTTTCATCCCATGCTTCCCTCGACAAGCCTTGGACGAAAATTCCTTCTCCCATCTCTTCTCTCTTAAATTATCTTCTTGTTAGTTTGGGTGTGATTCCATTAGAGGCACGACACTTGTGGTGTTTGCTTCCAAGAGATCAATAAAGAAGAATTCTAGTTGTTTGCTATAACAACTAAAAGGTATATAATCCTAAAACTCTTTCATGTTAATTTCGAAAATTGTCTAGGGTTTGTAGGTTTCTTTTTTATGTTCTTAGTTATAAGTTCAATAGAGAAAACATAAATCCTATTTAGGTTGCATGCAAACTTAAAGCTTTTATTTTGTGTGTTTACCTAAAACTCGTTACTATTTGTTTTTAACTTTCAAGGGTTTATTCAAGCCTAAACTCTTGAAAAAGCTCATATTGTCGATGCTCTAATTACATTGCAATGGTGTGGAATGGTCTTTTATTATGTATTTCCCAAATCTTTAAGCTATCTTATAATTTTTTTTTTCATATTTTAGTTGCATATTTCATCTTCTCTTCAACACTATCGAAAAGATGAATCATTTGTGGTTGATCCCACTTCGAGAAATCTTCTTTCCTAGAGCATCTCTAATGAGGGTTGTGTAAGGGTTGTATGGGATGAGGTAGAGTGGTATGGATGTTATATGAATTGGAGGGTGGTGACGTGGATTGATATTGTTTTGGAGTTGTATGATTATTGAATGGTTTTATGGATTTTTTTTGATGATAAATTTATAAAGATTGAGATAAATATATAAGTGAGATGGAGTGGTACGAGAGTTGTATGTATTGTATCGACGGGAGACGTTTAAAATGTAAGTTGTATAATATGAGAGGGTTGCCTATATTGGAGATGCCCTTAACAAGAACAAATGAAAAATGAAGTTTCTTATTGTTCAAGTGCAGCTACATCATTTGACTTGAAATCTCTTATTTTCTTCTTCTTTAAGATTATAATTAAATGGTTAGCTCTCTTCAACAAAATCGGAGGTTATTTTTTTCATTTTTATTTTTTATCAAAAGGGTGTTTTTGAAAAAATAGTATTAGATAGGTATAAATTTAAAAAATAAACAGGTGTAATTTCAAAATTTTAATATTTGTCTAAAATTTTCAGCCTTTTAATTTACTTTTTTTTTTTTTTACTTTTTGTTATATATTTTTGATGAGATGGTTTTATGTACACAACCAACTTTTTAATATGATCATTGAAATCTAAATTTCAAATTCCATCGATCTGCGACTTGTAATGAAATCAAATAAGATGTGATTTAAAAACATCAAAACCCAATCTTGAGACAAAACAATTAAAGCCGAGAGGTAAAAAGCGATCACATAATTATACGCAATGAAATGTAGACACAAACTATAAAAATGAAAAAGTATTTCCGGAAGAACACCGAACCAAAACCGAACCATAATAATCGAACTATTTTTAAAACTGATGGTTTTGTTTCTATTTTTTGTTAACTGATAAGTAATGGTTCGGATATGGTTTTACATGGAAATCGGCCCACTTCTTTACCTTTTGTGTTTTTAGACAACAACAAAAAAAAATTATCCTTTTTCTTTTCCCTTCTTGTCCAGATGCAACAATCAATACGAAGCAATTAAAAAAAAACTTTTTTTTTTGTTTCTTTATCTCTCTTCAGGTAGTGTAACTCAAAAAAATCTCTTTTGTTTTTGTGTTCTTGTCCAAGTGTACAAACCAAAATATTGTTTTTTTCTTAATTTCCTCTTCTGCCCGTTTGATATGTGAAAAAAATAAATAAATAAATTACTGTTGACATGAAAGAGAACAAAAAAACAAAAACAACTCTTTCTTTCTTATACTTCCATTTAGATTATGAACATACAAAAACCATTTTTTAAAATTATATGCATATATTATATACACATAATTTTTCGTATTTATGTATACAAAACCATATCTCATCCAAAAAAAATTATTGTAAAAAGCTTTAAAAAAATCAAAAAAATGTATATTAAAAAAAACAATAACATAATTAAATATTTTAAAACTATACCCATCTACTAAATATCCTTTTTCTTTAAATACTTTTTTTTGGTAAAAACTCACAAAATTGACAAGTACATATGAATGCCACCACCATTGGGATGGTTTTCGTTTGATTTTAAGTTCAAGTTTGACACCTGTGTAATTATCATTTGTCTTCCTACCTCAATGTTTCGAAAATTGATTCTTACTTGACCCTAACATGGGAAAATCTTTAATCTAGTATGAGATAAACTATGAGAACTGTCTAATCTGCAATGTGATCAAGAGAAATCTATTAACGAAATCGAAATCTCTTCATCTGAAGAAATGAGAATCGCAGGTACTTACCTATGGACAAAGTTTGTGTCTTTCTGATAAGATTTCATGCCAATAATCGATGTGGGCCTTATCAATCTACATTCCAATTATTCAAATAGCTGTTATATTATCGAGTCGGGTATGAATATTAGAAATTCTAATACTCAGCTCGTGAATTAAGTTATATTTACACTTTTGACCTTTATTTTATTCATATTTACAAAATCGAGCTGGGTTTAGTCGAGCTCACGATCTTAATTGTATTTCTTATTGCAATTTAATGTAATTTTTATTTTTTTTAATAACTAATAGAGTCGAGATCGAAAGTGTCGAGTACTTTATCGAGCTTGAGTGTGAGCTTAAAAGTAAGGCTCGAGTCAAGGTCAAGCTCAAGTCTAGTTTCGAGCTTGAGTTCCAATTTTGGTAGCAATAGCATTTTTAAATCTACAGTAAATTACAGATTAGTCCTTTTGGTTGGCACATTGTCATAATTTTGGTTCAATTTGGAAAACTTTAACATGGTCCATTTCTATTGTTTTAAAATCCATCACATTTGATCATGTTTGTTGTTATCGTTTAGAAACACACATATACAATGGTAGAAAGTAAACTAAGAAACTACACAGAAACATGCTTTACATAACATAGAAACAACACAACAAGCCAATCTTTCTAGATTGAATCATCATAATCATAAACTCCATTTTCATACTATACTTTTAGATAACTATATATTAAAAAACACACACACAAGATGGATAAAAAACATGATCAAGATTTGATGAAGCTAGAAATGTCAAACGTCTCAAGAAACTTTTGATCGGAAACTCTTGACTTGTCACCAGCGAAGTGTTTGTACTCTTCATGAATAGCACTCATGCACCAATTTTGCAACTTTCTAAAGCACCCCACAAGACAACCAGTTCGATGCTGAATCCCACAAATTAACCAAAAATACTAATCACTACCTTGAAAACTCTAGAGCTAAATGCAAGATAAAGAAATGTACTTTCATTTCTTTATTTGTTTATTATAGCATCTTACTTTTATTTCTGTCAACAAGACTATTATAACGGTGCAAAAACTGTTTTATATTTGGATGACATTATTGTAACATGAAGCTTTAATAAACATATAAAGAAAAGTATATTTTTATTTGTGCATTTTTAACTTAAATTTAGACATCAACCACTAGATTATTGTTCGAAGATGAATTAAAAAAACCTTTCCACGTTTGCAATGGATGAGCACCGGACGGTTTTTTGGATCTGGATAAGATATATAGAGTGAGTGTCATGAAAATTCTCAAAGTAAATATGTTGACATTATGACTAATATAACATAAACGATTATAAACAAAAAGTACATAAATTCCCTTACCCATAAGAGCCTTTAAAGCATCACGGATTTTTCCCTCTTGGATCTCCATTATAGGATTATGGTCCTATACATATATAAAGATATGAGTATAATTACAAAAAAGAATAAAAAAAAAGGCAACACATTACACATTGGCAAATCTACGAGTTTTTTACAATGTATCATGCAATTAATGTACATATGTTAGAAGTTGAGACATTGAAAAAATGTTATATGTTTATTAACACAAACATAGGTTGAATTCATTGAACACTACCAATTAAGTAACAATTAAATCATTTCTATTTAACTAGGAGTTGTTTAATAATCTTTGAATCAGTCAACATTCAACATGTTTGATACGACATCCGAACGATTTAGAGTTTGGAATCATTCCAAACTCTAAATGGTCCAGTTTTATCAAACAACCCCTTAGTTGTTGATCATAATGGTTGTTTTTATGATGTAAAATTGTATATTGTTTTTATAACTTTATTCTTTTTTTATATTGGTGGTTTTGGCAAACATTATCATATTTATGATCAAACGGTGCTAGTCGGTTACTATACGTTAGCAAAACGTGTTGTTTTGTGCCGATTTTCTTTGCCCGAAAAAGAAGATCACCGACTAATTCGCAGTGTTACGTCATTTTGTATATTGTAATTTGTAAAATGAATATATTGTTGTGAAGTAATGAAGTTATGTGGACAACGGGGGATGTAATTCTTGTTGATGCTATGATTTTTTTTTTTTGATAAACTCTAACAGGTTGCCTAACTTTCCCATAAATTAAGTGAAGTTGACAATTTATAGAACATCATTGTTGAAATGGAAACAAAATCAGAAGCCAGATGTTCAAATTAATTAAACAAACAAATGTAGTTCGATAACAATTTCGAATAATGCACTTGAGATACTTAAATTTGATTCATGATTTAATTCTTCAAGTAGAACCTTTGGTTGCAAAAATTGATAAATTAAATGAATCATGATTAATGCAAATTGAGGTAATTATATTTGCACATACCTTAGATTTCTGGATTCCCAATTGATGAAGCTGAATCGCATTTGCATTGAGAAACTCTAAATTCTCCTCAGGATAAGGTTCAGGGCATAGATATCTTCATAACACACAAAATCACCATGATTTCGCATCCCCACAAACAATTTATCAAAAAGCAAAACAATTAGCTAAAAAAAATTGTGAATTAGCTGAACATACATGATCGAGCGGAGTCCGAGAGTTTTCAAGAAGGATAAATTAGTTGTATCTGGAAATCCTGACCGGAAGATTCCGTCGTCAACCACAGCAAAATTGAAAGGCGGAATGTGCAGGCCATCGGAGCTATTTTCCAGCTTCCAGTCGATAGTCATCCTGTTTTCACCAGACGATTCTCCATCAACTCCGATGACATGGAACACCACGGGTGGCGAGCTTTCAACTTTCATGGCGTTTCGCGCCAAAAGAGAGAGACAGTTGTAGTTTGTGTGTGTGTGTATGTCTTTGGTGTGGCATGTCAAGAAGAGAAAAACACCTCTATATATAGTTGTGAACATGTAGATTGTAATCTATTATTATTATTATTATTATTATTATTATTATTATTATTGAGATATGTAACCTCTTTATATTATTTTGAATCGTTTAAAAAGATTTTTTTATGGTAGAAATACAAATTAGCATATGTTTGTACTTTATATAACAACAATTAGGATTAGGGATTTTGTTTCAATAATAGCACCCTTAATGAAAGTTTTTTTAGATATATTTTATTTATTTTAAGAGTTGATCTGTATATAACAATTTTTTTATATTTTTTTTATATGTAATAGTTTATATTTTAAAATATTATACTATTATATAATCTTATAAAGTGTATGAAAAATAAATTATATATGAATCACTTCCATTAATTTATCATAATATTTCTATAGAGACGGTAATTTTTTAGTCAACTTTCTCAATTTTATTATTTGTAGTATTTTATATTTTGTGTTTTATATCATTGATTTTTTTATTTAATAATATTTTTACTTATTATTTATTAAAATTTAAACTTCAAAATATATATAACTTTTCAACAAATTAATTTAATTCATTTTAGTCGTTAATATCAAATATTAAATTCTTTACAAATAAGTTATTTTTGTCGCTCTTTTATTTTATAATTATATATAATAGTTTTATAGTATATTTTATATTTAAAAAAAATACCCAATATAGTTTTTTTTTTGGTTTGTGTGACATCTTATGTCAAAAAGGTGTCAATAAATGTTATTTTCAAATTTTTTTAACATGCACTTAAAAGTGAAAAGTTAGAAGTAAAAACTTTATTTTTGGTTAATAAAAGTAAAAAACTTAAAGATTTGGTTCGATTGTTATAAAACCCAAGTTTGGCTAATTGAGTTTTGTAATGTATTTTTTCCATCCGTTTGCTAACGATTCAATATAATTTTGTTTTTCAAAAAACATACAGGGAACTATATAAAACATTTTACAAAAACGATAATACATTTGTTAATTTAAAGAGAACTTTTAAAAAGGATTAGCCATTAAAAAATTAAAATATTTAATTGTTGATCAAATATTCTCATTGAAAATTGAAATTTGTATCTAGTAAATAGTGTTAGGGTTTTGTTAAGGACGAATGGAGAATATAACGTTTTTCTTTTTATAAAACAAGCCACAAGCAAAAAATCAAAAAAAAAAATTACATTTATTTATTTTATTTTTTTTCGGTGATTTCTGAATGACGAGTAAAACCACATCCAACACGGTGAAATCCACGCTCACCCAATAACAAAACCTTTTTTTTTTGGGTTTTTTTTTTTTTGTGTGGCATCATATTATATATTTACATCGTTCTTCTATTTTGTATCTTTTTTATATGTTAATTCTTTTTTAGTTAGGTTTGTGACTTTGTCGTAGTTATTTCTTATTTATAGTTTCTTTTTTAATTTTTGTAATCACATTTGTCGTCAATGATAAAATTCTTTGGCTCTCAACTTTTAGGGCATAATAACACAATTATATCCATGTTTTTTGTATTTGACGATTGAAGAAGCTTCACCGTTGGGTACCATAGTGGCGAATATGGAATATGATAACATCGTGTTCCCTAATTAAGTGAACCAATAGAAAAAAAAAAAAAAAGTCAACAATATTTTTGGCGGTTTGGGTCGGATCAAACCAAAAAAAACCAGCCAATTTGAAAAAAAAAATGTATCAAACAAACCGGTCGAACAACTTAAAAACAAGTTAAACCGGCCTACCTGATCCCTCAAGTCATATTAAAAAAAAAAGAAAAAAAAAACAACTACTTGCATGATTGTGTCTTTTTTATTTTTAAAGATCGCACTTGCAATAATCATTTCCTACAATCAACAATGCATGAGGAGTTGTGTTGTTTTTCAAGTTTTCTTATAACATTTCATGTTAGAAATTTAGGGTAATAAAGGCACTTGGATATTCTCATAATTGTGATTTCACTTTCAAATCAAAGTATTTAGGTGGTATCTCTAATCTTTGATTGGGTAAGACTCATAAGAGATTCAGAACAGATAATGAGAAGTATCAATTTCGTGAGTACCAAAAAACTGACCAAAATTCGGTTAAATACCTCCTTTGTTAGAAAATTGTCACAAAACAGTTTCATGTCTAAAAACTGATAAAACTGTCATAAAACAGTTTTTCCAACAGTCAAAAACTGTAATAAAACGAGTTTTCTATAAGGATTAATGCAAAGCCAAAACTAAGTCAAATATTCAAAATTCAGATTTCTAATGTATTTTTAATACAGCTCGACCCCAGCCAGGGGCTCTGCCCTTGGACCCCGCTCCCAAGAGCGCTGCCCCCGAGCCGTCGTTCGTTCAGGGGCTTCTCCCCTAAAAGACAGTCTACTTTGAATCTTGAATAAACTTAAACAATTGTGCACTCCGCACATTCCTTACTTGTTTAATATTCTTCAAGATTGATTTTGGTCAACAAGTCATCCCATTACACTTAAGTACAATTAGTGAAACAAATCACCAACAAAACCTCCCCCATTTAAGAGTAATCTTGATTAACTTAAAACAAAACATAACAACAACAACAAACTGATGCATAAATGAAATGTCGTGACGATTGAATTTCATATTAGTATATTATTCATTCCAAATATTCGAATATCAGGGTGTCACTAAGGATTGAACCATTTCTATTCATAGTGAATACATGAAGATAATACACATAACCATTTCTATTCCAAATAGATCCGGACTGCAGATCCCTATTACCCCATCTTTTGCACCGCAACTCAAACAGATTGTTGATCCTCCCAACAGAATATCCAGTTGTAACATCCGGATTCCCAGGTATCTTATTTTAAGTATTTATGTTGACTTTTAGAAAGGGACTCGGCGAATAGGCGCTCAGACTCGCCGAGTGGGATCGCGCACTTTGGTCTGATTTAATGAAGGACTCGGCGAGTCCACACTGTTAAATGAAACCCTAATTCTCGGGGCCTGAGCCCTATTTAAGGACCTTTATAGCCACCATTTGCGGCTACCAGA